ATTCATACATGAATGAAATAGTAAATATATTCCAACTAAGCAACTAGGATTTATTAGTTACATATTAAGGGGAAAGATCACAAAAAATTTGAGACCATTAACATTTAAATAAAAAAATGACTGCCCACAGAGTAATCGATTAGGTTACTTTCGGTTAACCGGTCCGAATAAGCGCTTCCTTTTTCCCTTTGTTGTTGATCGGTATAACCGGTTTTTAACCGGTAACTAACTAACCAATATTTGGTTAACCAGTTACAAACCTGTATCGATTGTCGAGCTCCACTTCTCTATCGGTTAACTGATAACTGATAACTGAGTGGTTGGTTACCGATTAAACTGACGGAATAGCAGTCCTACTATTAACCCAAAGAGAAAAATGGATTTCCAAATCTGTGTTCCGAATAACGGGTGATACTAGCAGACGAGCAGGTGGTTGTGGATACTATTGGTGTAGGAAGTTAGTAGATCAGAAGTGATGATGATTAGTTCCAATGTAGTTGCCTATCATAATCCCCTGGAGTTTAGAATTAAAGGTACCAATCTTGAGAAGTCCTTCAATTCTGTTGCCTTCAAAGGATGAATTCCAAATAGTAATAAATGGTGCCAAACCTAGAATTTGGTCTTCTCCTGGCAATCCTACTAGTGTTATGTAGTCCTACTACTCCTACTAGAATTTGGTCTCCTCGTGGCTACGCTCTTCCTCACAATGAATATACTTTTCCGGAATATTAGACGGTTTATTAAACCCTCTAAAAAAGGGATTTTATGAGAGTCGTGAGTAGTAAGAAAGTGGATGTTGTAGCAGTTCTTGAAACACGGGTTCACGAAAGAAAGGTGGATAAGGTGTTTTTGATTGCTTTGTGGGTGGGGAGAGAAAACTAAACTATGTCGATCCTGATTTGAGTTGTATTTGGCTTTTTGGGTCTACACTGATCACATTGAGGGTATTAAAGATTGGGAACGCATTGCAAAGACATGAGTATTGTGGGTTGCTTGGATGTTGGCTTATCGCTGCAGAGGGGCCGGGGTGATCTATGTACTATGAAGATCAGACTTGTTCTTCAGCCTTTTATGGCACTGCAAGGGACCGTTGGCACCTGTGTGTTGTAATGGGGATTGAATCTCGGGAACATTTATTTTTTGATTGTGAGCTTTCGAAGTCTGTTGCTAGTAGGGTAGGTAACCTCTTTTGTAGGGGCTCGTGTGATCTCGCTGGTGATTTGGCAACAAAAAACTTAGCGCTGGGAAGACTTATAGGCTTGCTATGGTGCTCTTGGTAAACTTTTATCTAGGGGTGAAAGCTTGTCCCGGAAGACCCACTGACGCATCCCGACTCGTCCCGTCCCTAAGGGTCGGGACGGGTCAGTTTGTCTACAGGGACAGATTAGGGACGGGTCATTTGTTGACCCTGTAAGGGTCGGGACGGGTCGGGACAACTTTTTTTTTTGTTAATGGTGATATATATTAATTGAAAACAAAGAATAATACAAGGACAAGACCACAGAAACCAAAACACGGCTCCATGGTCAGAAACAAAACAAAAGCCGACAGGGGCAAGGGGGAAAATAGAAGAATCCACCCACCCCTTCTCAACGCCAAACCAGCAGAGAACACTAGCTCGCAAAAAAGAAAACTGGAAAAACCCCCCGCCAACCCACCTAACAAAGCAGGACAGTTCGTATCAAATAGAAGCAGATAGCAAACAGGGGGGCTCAGTGCTCGGCACGCTTACAGAGCAAACACAAAAGCCAAACTGAAGGATCAGGAAGCCAAAAAACCGAAAAACCAAAAACCAGAGGCCTATGATTCTTCCTCAGGAGGCTGTGAATGAGAATTCGAAGTCTGCTGCTGCGGATTATGTGGGAACAGCCTGTTCTTCATTTCTTTGATCCATGCTTCTGCAATCTCTTTGTCAACCTTGGGACAACTTAGGGACGGGTCACGTTTTGACCCTGTGACCCTTAGCAACAACAAATGTCTCATACTTCACTGGACCTTTTTGTAAAGTTTTAAAAGTTTAGGTACTAATTTGTAAAAATAAAAAAATTTGGGTAACAAAACGTAATTTTACCATCAAAATTTATGGACTTATTTGTAAAAAAATAAAATTTAGGTACTAAATTGTAAGAAAAAATAATTTTGGGTACCAAAACGTAATTTGTAAAAAAGTAGTGTGTTGATTAGGGTCGACCCACTGACCCGGCCCGTCCCGTACCGTCCCAACCCACGAGGGTCAGACAGGGTCAAGGAGGAGATAGGGACGGGACGGTTATACATCTTGACCCTTCAAGGACGGGTCAGACAGGGATAGGGACTGGACAGAGACGGTACAGACAAATTTTCAGCCCTACTTTTATCTAGCAAGAAAGATGTTGGAAATGCCACAGAGAGAGTCCAAGTAAGGCTAATGAAGTAGAAAAAGTATGACTTCGAGATTTGCAATTTGTTGTTAACTGGCACTGTTATGTTGGTAGATTGTCATAGTATTGGTAAGTTTTTTGGGACGAGTAGATAATTGGGTAGTTACACAGTTAGGGTTTGTAGTTACACAGTACAGGTTGTTTGTTGTTCTTTCAGGGTGATCCTAGGGGTGGGCAACGGGACGGGACGGGATACCCGTCCCGTTTTAAACGGGTACCCAATCCCATTTGGAGACCAAAGTCCATCCCATATCCCAAACCCATATGGGAAACGGGTACCCATTACCCGTACGGGACGGATAACGGGTACCCATACTACCCATAAAATACCCAAAGTTTAAATGACATCACATTACATATCTTAACAATAACATGCTCTTGCGGGGAATAATAAGAACACGATATGATCAAAAACATAAATTCAATCCCTGTAAGCACAAGCATTCATTTCAAAACATCCCAAAGGCAATTACATCCCAAAGACAAAGTGACAAACCCACTGCCATTTTCCCAATTGTATCTCCAAAACTTAGGATGCTCCCAGCCTCCCACACTTTCATCACTGCTACTTGTCCCCAGCATATGAAGTACCAAGATCCTCACCTACCAAAAATGAAAGCATATATTTCTCATCAGGAGTCCAGGAGATCTGTTTGTATTTTGTTTCAATCAAAACACCCATCGGTCTCACGGTCTCAGTGCACTGGGTAAGGGCCGAAAATTAGTTTTGAATTGGGCTGGGCCTGGACTGAATTAAATCTGTCTTTGTACTTTGAATGGGTAAAACGGGTACCCATATTACCCAAACGGGTATTCGCGGGTAACCCGTGGGTACCCATATTAGGACTGTACAATTCCAAGTCCCATCCGTTTAAAATATCACTGGTAATATGGGTACCCGTAACCCTTAAAAAATGGGACGGGTACGGGTATACCCAAATACCCGTTTCTCGTTGCCCACCCCTAGGTGATCCTATCTTGGGATTGTCTTTCTTTGTTGTATTAGGGTGATATGATTGCTTTGATCTTCCACCTCCTATCTCTTAATAAAGAGGAACAGTTTCAACAACAACAACAAAAAAAAAAAAGATAGAATAAATAATAGGCAAAGGGATTAAACAAAAGGTGAACAAACTCAAGAATTGGTTTTTATTATCAATTTAAATGGATATTGATTTGAACATATTAATTTTCATTTGTAAAACAAGTACATAAAGATAATTTGATATTTCAATCATAGAACTCACAATCTATTGATGATGACACATTTAAAATCTGGGTATGCCTATGGTGACATGCATGTCACCGTAACTTGCACTTTTAGGTCGACCTTATATATGATTAGGTCGACCTAATATGCCGTTTCAGTTTTTTGAGGTTCAACGACGAGGTTGACCTTTTATAGCAAATGGTCGACCTCTTGGGAAGTGCATGGATGTCATTTACGACTACATGGGCCATATTTCCACCCAGATGACTGGCATGTACGACTACATGGGGCAAATGACCAACCAGATGAGCACACTGCAGGTGACCGTGACCGTGAATGAGATGAGTTTTGATCTTTCAGTGGAAGATACATGCATGTCACCGTAACTTCCGACTACCATAATGCTAGCAACACCAATGAAGAAAATGTGGATCAGGGAGAGAGTGGACAGGAGTAGGAACTCGACGATTTTAGATTGTGTGTGATGAGGACATCAATGGGCCAGTCACATGTGCTAAGGCAAGGACGTTGAAGGAGAAGCTTGCGACATATTTGGAGAGCTACTTTGGAGCCATGGACGTGGAGCTATTTCGAGGGAAGCCATATATGATGATTCGAGTGGAGGAAGAAGGAGGAAGTGCTTAAGAGAAGGCAGATTGCAAGAAGCAGCCTTAACGGGTTTACTTAACGGGTCCAGGCTTAACGGTTTGGGCTTAACGGGTTTGCTGGGCTATTTCCGATATCTCATGTTTTAAAGTCGGTTTATGATTGTTTTTCCATGTTGGAGACGGATTTGGGCTGTACTTTGCCTATTTAAAGGGCTGAACACGTTGGTTTTCCCTTAGACGCTTATTATTGAATTTCAGAGGCTATTGCCGAGTTCCCTACACGGAATTTGCCCTAATTAGTCTGTCGAGAATCTCCAGAGTGCTAGAGCGACTCTTATCAGCTAGGTATTCACCCTAGTTGTGGCGAGCTACCCATATCGATTTCCCTTTATTCCGTGTTGAATCTGTCCGATCGATTCATATATCGATTGCCCTTATTCACGGGTGAGTACTGTCCGATCGATTTCCATCCTATCCGGTTCTGTTTGGTTCGAGAAGCTTGACCCTGCGCTACTTTGATTATATCAAGTGGTATCAGAGCTAAGGTACAAATTAGTGGAGTGTTCTTGAAGTTTTTTTGAAGATCTTCTGCATTCTTGTTCGTGTTCTTGGTGGTTTTGTGCGAGTTCTTGAAGGTCTTGGCGTGTTCTTGAGCCGCAAGAGAGGAGGTTTTTTGTTCTTGGGAGTTCTTGGTGTTTCTTACGAGGCAAGAAGCAGGTTGTGCGAGTTCTTATGTTCTTGGAGTTTTCTTGCATCGCAAACATGGAAGAAACACTCGAAGCTATCAGAAATCAATTGGAGAACATTGCTCGTGCTCAAGAAGAGCAAACAACAAGGCTTGCCGAGCAAGCCACGAGGATGGAGGCTGTCGAGACAAGGCTCGAGGAGCTGGTTGTGGTCGATGCAAACCCTAATCCTAGACCTCGACAAGAAGAAAGGGGAAGGAAAAACCGAGCTCCTCTACCCTTGGTTCATGAAGTACAGCGTCATATGCGCCAGCATAGATGCCTTGGAATGCCTCGAGCTGAAAGGAGAGGGCGGCATCAATATCATGAAGAGGAGTTTAATGACGAGGAAGAAGTGATGAGGACATCAAGGGGCCAATCACTCGAGCTAAGGCTAAGGCATTCAAAGAGAAGTTTGCTACTTATTTGGAGTGCTATTTTCGAGACATGGATGTAGAGTTGCTGAAGTCCAAAGCATGTATGATGATTCAAGTCGTGGAAGAAGAAGGAAGTGTTGAATGGAAGGTAGAAGGAGCTATTTGAGGATTATTAAGTCGGCTAGACTAGTTTGTTTCTATTAAATTCGACCTAAGACATTGTTTTTCCTTTTTCCTTCATTGGTTTCCTTGTCCTTGTTGGATTTGGTTTGTTTGCAGCCTATTTTTTAAAGGGCCAAACTCGTGTAATTGGGGATTAGACAATTATCACCAAACTTCTGATTTATTCAAGGCTTTTGCCGAGTCCTCCTTTGAGGTTGCTAGCCCTACTTTCTTCCATTGAGCGAATTCTGGAGAGAGCTAGAGCAAACTCTTATTAATCGGATATCCACTTCGATTGTGGCGAGTTCTACCCCTTCCAATTGCCCTTTACTTCTAGTTGGGATTGTCCGATTGGTTTGACATACCAATTTCCCCTTTCCACAAGCAAGTTCTGTCCGATTGGAGTCCATCTTTATCTTTGTTCTTGTTCGATTGAAAGCTGCGTGACTTAGATTGCATCAAGTGGTATCAGAGCTCGGTTCAAGTCAGTGGCGGTTATCTTGATTCTTGACGGTTATCTTGAGATTCTTGACGGTTATCTAGGGTTTCTTACCCCAATCTTGCGTGTTCTTGAAGTTATCTTGAAGAAGAACTCGACTTGAAGTGGTTCTTGGAGCCTGATCTTATTTTCTTGTGCGGTTGGAGGCCTTTCTTGTGCCACAAGATGGAGGATAGAATCGAGGCTTTATCCACTCAATTGGGGCAAATTCTGCAAGCCCTATAAATCCAAAGAGCCGAGAACAATGAGAGGATGGCAGCTATTGAAGCTCGACTTCAAGCACCTCAACCACAACTTCAAGTGGAAGCAAACCCGAACCCTAGAGTTCAAAGAGAAGACAGAAGAGAAAATCGAGCACCCCCACCATTGTTCCATGAAGTGCTTGCCACCAAGCAAATAGAAGGGTGGGATTCCCGCGACCAGTAAGGAGAGAACAAAGACCTCTTCGTAATGAAGGGTTCGAGGGGTTTGAAGAGGATGAGGATGAGTTCGAGCAAGAAGAAGAAGAAGATTTCCGAAATTTGAAGATTTCCGAAATTTGAAGATTTCCATTCCTCCTTCTCGTGGTACTACAAACCCTGATCATTATCTTGATTGGGAGAGGAAGGTGGAGCTGATTTTTGATTGTCACCGTTATTCCGAGAAGAAGAAGGTGATGCTTGCTTCCCTCGAATTCTCGGTGTATGCTCTTATTTGGTGGGATCAATTGAATACGAAGAGAAGAAGAAACAGGCAGCGACCTATTGAGACTTGGTACGAGATGAGAAGCATTATGAGAGAGAGGTTTGTGCCTAGCTATCATCAAAGGGAGATGCACCAGAATTTACAACTTCTCCGGCAAGGCAGAAGGAGTGTGGAAGATTAATATCAAGAGATGGAGACCTTAATGATCCGTGCCGATGTGAATGAATACAGCGAGGCCACTATTGCTCGTTTTCTGCAAGGTCTCAATAGAGACATTCGAAATGTGGTAGAGATATAATCCTTCATTGAAATAGAGGAGTTGGTAGCTATGGCGGCTAAGGTGGAGAGGCAGCAAAGAACTCGTCGAATTCAGCCTTTTAACTCTACTCCACGACCTATGCCGAGTGCTGCCAATACTTCTAAGCCGAGCCTACCTTTCAAGGAAGGTCCGAAACCTGGTGCCAAGGTGGAAGGATCTAGTAGCAATGTGAAGCAAGGTGGATCATCAGGGGGCATTCAATGTTTTAAGTGCCATGGGAGAGGACATGTAGTTAGCCAATGTCCCACGAAGAAAACATTGGTTCTCTTGGACAATGGAGAGTATGTATCTGAGGAGGAAGAAGATGATGGAGACGATGTAGTTGGTTCACAGGAGTCGGAAGTGGATGAGTCCATAGAGATGGAGCCACCTACAGGAGGCATGATCCGGAGTTGTGTTACTAGGAGGGTGTTAACTGCACAACCTCAGTGTGAACTGGAGCAGAGAGAGAACCTTTTCCATACTCGATGTAAGGTGAAGGGGGAGCTTCTTTCATTGGTTGTGGATGGAGGTAGCTGCACCAACGTGGTGAGTGCAGGAGTAGTGAAGGCACTCGGGTCGGATACTGTGAAGCACCCAAAGCCCTATAACCTTCAATGGTTGACTGATCATGGCTATCAAGGTGACTCGACAGGCTCTCATGAAGTTCTAAATTGGGAGTTACAAGGATGAGATCCTATGTGATGTAGTGCCAATGCAAGCGGCACACATGCTATTGGGTAGGCCATGGCAGTTTGATTGCCAAGTTCAACATGATGGAGTGTCCAACAAGTACCAGCTGCGGCATGAAGGTCCGAAGTATGTATTGAAACCTCTTTCCCCTTTGGAAGTGTATGGAGATCAGCTTCAAATGAAGCAAGGCCGAGAGCAAGCAAGGAAGGAGGTGGCCGAAGGGAAATTGAAGCACGGAGGGAATTCCCTTGAGAATTCGAAGGCAGTAATGATAGCAAGAAGCAGTGATCTGAAGCAGGCCATTAATAACCATGATCCCATGATTGTGGTTCGATTCCGAGAGGTATTAATCAATCAAGAGCTCGTCCAAGATGTTCCTCAAGTGGCTAGAGAGGTGTTGACTGAATTTGAGGATGTATTTCCTGAGGAAACACCTATGGGGTTGCCGCCCATTCGTGGTATTGAACACCAAATTGATTTCGTTCCTGGAGCTACCATTCCAAATAAAGCTGCTTATAGGACGAATCCTGAGGAGGGCAAGGAGCTTCAACGACAGATTGATGAACTTATGGCCAAAGGGTATGTTCGAGAAAGCTTAAGCCCTTGTGGAGTTCCTGTTATTCTTGTGCCTAAGAAGGATCAATCTTGGAGAATGTGTGTCGACTGCCGATCTATCAACCAGATAACAGTTAAGTATCGATATCCTATACCACGTTTGAATGACATGCTTGATGAGTTACATGGTTCTATGATATTTTCTAAGATCGATTTGAGGTCCGTTTATCACCAAATTCGTATGAAGGAGGGTGATGAGTGGAAAACTGCGTTTAAGACCAAGCAGGGTCTTTATGAGTGGATGGTGATGCCTTTTGGGCTTACTAATGCGCCAAGCACTTTCATGAGGTTGATGAACCATGTTCTGAGGCCTTTTTTTGGGAAGTTTGTGGTTGTTTACTTCGATGATATCCTGATATATTCTAAATGCTTGGAAGATCATCTGGATCATCTGAGACTGGTCTTGGCAACATTGAGAAGAGAGCACTTGTATGCTAATTTGAAGAAGTGCACGTTTTGCACCTCTAGTGTGGTTTTTCTTGGTTTTGTAGTGAGTGCAGATGGAGTCAAGGTGGATGACGAGAAGGTTAAAGCTATTCAAGCATGGCCTACTCCCTCGAATGTGAATGAAGTAAGGAGTTTCCATGGCTTGGCAGGTTTTTATAGGCGCTTTGTGCCTAATTTCAGCATTATTGCCGCACCTTTGACTGCTGTGATCAAGAAGAATGTTGCTTTTTTGTGGGGAGAAGAGCAGGCTAGAGCTTTCGAGCTGCTCAAGCATAAGCTTACACATGCTCCTGTTCTTGTTCTTCCTAATTTTGATAAGACTTTTGAAGTTGAATGTGATGCCTCTGGAGTGAGAATTGGTGCAGTATTGATGCAGGAGAAGCGTCTCATTGCTCACTTCAGTGAGAAGTTAAGTGGAGCATCATTAAACTATCCTACCTATGACAAGGAGCTTTATGCTCTAGTTCGAGCATTGGAGACTTGGCAGCATTATCTGTGGCCAAAGGAGTTTGTTGTTCATACTGATCATGAGTCATTGAAGTATTTGAAGGCTCAGCATAAGCTCAACAAAAGGCATGCGAGATGGCTTGAATTTATTGAATCTTTTCCCTATGTGATTAAGTACAAGCAGGGGAAGGATAATGTGGTTGCTGATGCTTTATCTCATAGACATGTGCTTATTACTACTATGGATGCTCGTTACTTGGGTTTCGAGCAGATCAAGGAGCTATATGCAGAGGATGCTGATTTTGGAGATATATTTCGAGCTTGTGAGAAGCATGGAGCAGGGAATTTCTATAGGAGTGATGGTTATCTCTTTAAAGCCACTCGGCTTTGTATTCCTAGAGCTTCACTTCGAGAATTGATGCTTCGAGAAGCACTTGGTGGTGGTTTGATGGCACATTTTGTGGTGGATAAGACCCTTAGTTGTCTGCAGGAACATTTCTATTGGCCTCATATGAAGCGAGATGTGGAGAACTTGTGTGCTCGTTGTGTGGAGTGCAGGCATGCTAAATCCAAAGCTCAACCACCTGGATTGTACACGCCCTTGCCTATTCCATATGCACCATGGATTGATATCTCCATGGACTTTGTGCTAGGGATGTCGAGATGTTGAGAGCTGTAATTAAGAGTAATCTCAAGACATGGGAAGACTGCTTGCCTTTTGTTGAGTTTGCTTATAACCGCATGGTCCATTCTACCACCAGGTTTTCTCTATTTGAGCTTGTGTAAGGCTTTAACCCTCTTACTCCTTTGGATCTAGTGCCTTTGACTTTGAAGGAACAAGTGAATATGGATGGTGTGAAGAAGGCCGAGATGGTGAAGAGTTTACATGAGAAGGCAAGGCAAAACATAGAGAGGAGAACTGAGCAGATCATGAGGAATGTGAATAAGCATAGGAAGCCTCAGAACTTTGAAGTGGGAGATTGGGTATAGATTCATATGAGGAAGGAGAGGTTCCCACAGAAGAGACGATCCAAGTTGCTTCCTAGATGTGTTGGTCCTTTTCAAGTGCTTGCAAAGGTGGGGCCGAATGCTTACAAGGTTGATTTGCCAGGTGAGTTTGGAATCAGTGCTACTTTCAACGTGGCTGACCTTGCACCTTACCCAGATGAGAACTCGGATTTGAGGTCAAATCCTTTTGAAGAGGGAGGGACTGATGAGGACATCAAGGGGCCAAT